GGTGGTAAAACAGGGTCAATCCTTTGTCCAGTTTTCATGAACCATATTCAGTATATCTAAATATTGTTTAGAATATATATAAAGTTACTTATTTTCTAAATTAATCAAATTTTATTTCTGTTTTCAAACCTATACGTCTGTTTTATAAAAACAGTTTGTATTTGAATATTAACATAGACCCATTAAAAAGGATTTTAGTAAATTAAGGGCATGGTGAAAGATGTTTCTTACCTGATTACATTTCATTTCCAAAAAGGTATTTTTAATCTAACAAACAATCATATTGTAATCAACTAAATATAGCTGTATATGACATTAAAATTATGTCATTAACACCTAGCAAACCCGATTAACTGAATTCAGCGAGACAGAATAGTCTCTAAGGTGTTTTTGGACCACATTTGGTAAGTAATAAATAAATAAAATGTACTATTTGCAATAAATTTATCCTCCATAATAGAGAATATTCATTTTTGTCTGTGAAGTGTAACACTTCTTGTTCTTCTCATATATTTACTTTGCATAATTTCTTCTTTTCTTTTCTTCTTTTCTTTTTTTTGATTCAATAATACATTCTTAAAAGTATTTATCTATTTGATTTTAAATAAAAATGCTCTTCTTAAAGCAGATATTGTTTAGAGTTTCTTTTTTGTTTTTTCTGGGTAGTCCTCTGCTGCTTTGCTGCTGTTTCAGGAATGAATACATAGAAATCAGTGGTGGGCACCCCAGCACAAGATGGCGCCGATTTTGACGAACGCTTGGTAGCATGGTGACTAATACAGACGACATCTACTTGTTTAACATCTATGTAAACACCAAACGGATCACAAACGTAATTAAGCTTAATACTACTTCCTCTTATCCTTTCAAAATAAATCCCAAGCAAATCGTACAAGTGCCGTTCAGATTGATGATCACAACTCCAGCTTAATTTTACCTTTTCTTATTTTATTAATAGTTTGAAAAACTTCTATCTCTGTTTACCTATCTTTGTACTCTGATGTTTTTGATGATATCAAATATAGACCAAATGCGTCAGAGGTATATGTATATATTTATTTTTTAGTAGGCTTTTACTGTGAAGAAAAAATACCGGATGATGCTAAATCCATTTCGACTATTAACGTTTGTCGGTTGAAAAAAAAATCGACTGTCGACATAAGAGGCGAAGCTGCATGTCGCAGAACATTCGAGAGGTATGATGAATATATTACCGTCTACCAATCTTCTCTATTAGTCAGTTTTTAGATTTGATTTTATTGCGTACAATGCTACTTAAACACTGAAGCTAGCTACACAGCGTCGTGAGCGGTGGGTTAATCCCAGTTATCTGCTCTGAATGGCGTCGACGTCGTTCGGCTAACAGCGTTAGCTTTAGCTGCGTGGCGTCAGTTGGCCTTTCGTTTGGGTAACGAGTGTATTTCGGTAAGCGATAACGGACTCCGACATTACCGGCTGAAAAAATCCAGCTGTATTAACTTATTGTTAAAGACGTATATTATTTTGTATTTTATAGACTTTGCTAAATTATTACGTTAGCCTTAACCCATGTGTCGTCTGAAACCATGGGCTCCGACTAGACTACATTTTTCCACTGCTCCCTTTTTTAAAAATAAAGAACCATTCTTAGTCAGATGAACTATAAAAATGTTTAATGAATAATATTGAGAAGACAATGTAACGCATTGTCGCAGCTGCTGTCACTTCAGTCCGCTGTTAATGGTCATTGGTTGTTTTCTCTCATAAAAGGTTCCCGGACACCGAGGACGTTCCAGAAAGCTCCCCTCTGTCTCTGAACCAGCACCGTTTGGACGCCTCAGGGTGTTTAAGCTTTGAAAAAACTATATATCTCAGATTCCCTGCTGCCGCTATCGATACAGCACCAGCTATCGACCACGGTTCACTGCGGCATTTGGACGATCAGCGTTGTGTTTATGTCTTTGTTTTGCAGAAACGGTAAGTTGTGGGCTCGACTTTAACTATTTGTAGTTTTGTGTAAGTTAATCTCTACGGTTTTTTTTCACAGTGCCATATATGATTAGCTTTTAATGAAATATTGAGCAATGCTCCCGCTCCTCTCCTCCACTTTTCAAAATGGCTTCTCCTGGTCTCGTCACTCGTGTGCAGTGACTTTATGACGCACTCTGCACCAAGACGCCAGCTTGGCTAGCTGCTAGCCCTCATTGGAAATGTTTGATCTGATTTTTGGGAAACCACTTAACTTTAACGGGAGGAATTTGATTTTTTTTCTCCACTTAAGAATAGTGAGTTGTCAGGTTGAAACCAGTTCCGACTGATCTCCGCTGATGCTATCAGTGGAGCTATGCTTGTCTGCCAGCTGACAGGCCTCATGTTTTTGACCTATTAAAGCAGAAGGCCTGACATGTCAAACGCAAAGAGGCCCCAACATAAAAAACAAAAGGCTTACACAAATCCATTATTGTTGTCACAAAGAGGGGTTTAGGCTGAATGTCACAAGGGTTTGGTTTACTTTTTCATTTAAAATGCCTGCCTTTGTTACGGTTTTCTATTTGTTTTTTTTACATTTATTGTGACGTTTTAATCTTCATTCTGTAAATAATTATTTTCATGTTCTCTTAAGCAAACTTTCTTCAAGGATTTAATAGTTTTTGTTTGTTTGCATATAGCTACAAAACATTCATCATACAGGTTTAAGTTTTTTAATTAAAGCCTTAATTGGCATTAAAATTAATTAAATGTGATTATCGTGGCATTTGAAATGTAAAAAAAAAAAACTAAACTGTTTCTAAAAACAATTTCGTCAGATATGACGTGTTTTCGTTGATCGTAAAGCTGTATGTTAGGAAAAGAAGCTTGAAGAGGAGAAAAAGCTGGAGAATTGGGGGGGAAATTTATTTATATATATATATATATATATATATATATATGAGTCATGTGTACTTGTTGATGGCATTTAAATAATTTCTGAGAGCATTAAAAAGCATTAGTTACTCATTCCTGTATAAACCCTGATCATAGATTGATTTATGAAGAAAATAAACTAAACTGTTACATTTCCTGAAATATAGTTTTAAGTGTTTGTATTGAGCTTAGGGAGTTATAACTACTGGTTTCTTTACATTTTCTTAGATGGCATTGGTAGAAAATAAATCCTAGGAGCTGCCTTTCTCTACTAGATGAACTGATTAATGCAGGTGTGCCTGACCTCAACCATGAAGGCATTGGCCAGACACACCTGGATTAATCAGTTCACCCTGTAATGAAAGACAGACTGCCTTAGCTTCAGGAAATGGTAGTTGGAGATGTGCTTAGAGCCATTATGGATTATTTGGTAGAGAAAAAACGTAAGAATCTGGAGCCCAAGTGGAAAAAACCCCATCAATAATTAGGGGTAACTAAATACTTCTAGATTTGATTCAATTAAACGTTAAATTCTAAAGTTTTAAAGTCTCCGACCCCCACCCCTCCACCCCACACACACTGTTCTTTATAAAATTGATGACTAATAATTACATTTTTTTTTTTATCTTCCTAAAAATAGACCTTGATGTATTAAGATGAGCACTTATGTCATTTTTGTTTTAAACTGCTCCTTATGAGTTTGTTTGCACCAAAACCGAATGTAATTCAAACTATGCCTTTTACTGCTTCCTTCATATGTTGATTGTTCAGTCAGGTTATTTAGAGCAGAGGACTGGTTATCTTTATAAAATATTTATGCCTGTTCCTCTCTTCTTTCAGAGCTGTTGCGCAGCCGTTGGAACCTGTGTGGTGGAAATCTAGCCTTCAAGCAAGGAGCTTGCGGCCATAGCGGCACGACATTTTTCATGTCAGAGAACGAGCACGCTTGCAGTCGTTTATGTCATCCCCTCTTTTCCAGACAGAAGATCCCGAAAAATCCCCAACCAAGATCCTTTTATCTTACTGATAGTACAAACATCCAGCCAAAATGTCTGTCAATGTCAACCGCAGTGTGTCAGACCAGTTCTATCGCTACAAAATGCCCCGTCTGATTGCCAAGGTATTCATCAGTTTATCCTGATTTTAGCATACAGCTGTTCCAAAGCCACTACAGAAATATTGCAGCTGTGCTGTTAATTCCAGTAAAAAAAATTTATTCGTCTTTCCTGTTCTGTTTCTTTTTTTGTTTTAAGGTTGAAGGCAAAGGGAATGGAATCAAGACGGTCATTGTCAACATGGTTGATGTTGCAAAGGCTTTGAACAGGCCTCCAACGTGTGAGTATATATTTGGGGCTAGTAATGTTAAATGGGGTTTGCAGACCTTATTTTGTCTGATTATGTTACAGGGGTATTTTAATGCTGCTTTTGGTAAAAGGATAACAAATGGTCTCAAATGATGGAAAAATTACTTAATTAATATTTGATGAGAAACTCACTGCTGAAATAAAGTCCTTCCTCTGTAGTTTAAGGCACAAACGAAGGAAGATGACAAAATTACGGAAAGAGCATTTTTATAAAATTATTGATACATTAATTGCTAAAACAAATAAAAGCTGTAGACCTTTGTTATATAGATGTCTTGGAAATGTTCTTATCGAACCCTCAAAACAATCCAGTATTTTACCTTACTTCACCCGAACAGGGGGGAAAATCACCAAACTCATCCAAATATCAACTAATTGTTCAGAAATCACATTGGACCATGTAAGAAAAAGGTTTCCCTGGATGTTTATTTTAAGGATTTAAAGTAGGGATGCACGATACAATCGGCCCCCTATCGGTATCGGCCTTAAAACTGAATATCGGACATCGGCCACCCCACCGATATTTAACC